TGGAAGACTCTGTCTCCTAGAACTCTGGGGGAGTCTCCTATGACTCACTTGTCTTTAAGTAAAGATGAAAAAGGACAACTCTTCCCAGCTTTCCCCTGCTGTCCAAAGCCTGGCAGTATCCCAAAGGAAAGAAAGCATTGTTCCTCCAATGTGTGGCAGTTCAGGAACTGTGGTGATGTCCCCCAGCTCCAATCAGCCATAAAGTGTCAAAGAAAACAAGTTCATGGGCCAGAAATCTTGGACTGACAGTCCTCCAGTCTCTTCAGTCCCCAAACGATTGAATGATGTGGGAGAGATACCCCGGAGGACTAAGGGAGAGCAGGTCAGTTTTCTGCACCAACTATTTGCTTACTTGTTCCCCTTTCCCACTGGACCATGAACCCTGCAGTGGGGGGAACCATACTCTGTTTATACAAAATTAGTTAATTAATACATGTATTTAGCAAATGTTTACTGAGCTCTGATTATGTGCCAGTCACGAAAGATAAAGCTTCCTGCACTCTAGGAGATTATTTTCTAATGGTGGACAGAGGGGGTAGGCAGGCGGTAAACTTGTAAGCAAATAAATGAATAAACAAGACAATTTTAGTGTATGATAAATGTAACAGTGCATGGGGCGGCTGGGCTATATCCCACTGGATGTCAGGGAAGCTCGGTCTTTGAGGAGACAATACTTACAGTGAGATCCCCAGGATGAGAAGGTGCCAGTCACATAAACAGCATTCCTGGCAGAAGAGATGTCAAGTGTAAAGACTCTTAGAGTGGAGAAAAGATTTGCTCATTCAAAGAACAGGAAAGTTGCCAGTGGGCATAAAGTTTAGTGAGTATGGGGGAAGTGAAGCCACAGGACGATCATGGAAGTCCTGTCACATAGTGCAAGAGTACTCAGGATTGACTCTAAGTGCAGTAGGGAGGAACTCAATGCCAAATTTTGGGTGTAATATTGTATTTTCTTAAAGAAAGACTTCATAACTTTCTCAGATTTCCTGAGATGCCTATAATCCTCTTCCCCCATGCCTCTCCCAAATTTTAGTAATACCTAATTTAGTGGGAGAAGACAAGGTCCATGCTCTTAGGAAGACTAAAAAGACAAAAGCTGCAGTTTGGGGTTACATACTGTGTATTCTTCCAGGATACAGAGAACTACCCAGGAAAAATGTACAAACAATTATCCTTGAGGGGGACAAGGGTGGAACTTGAGACATTATCTGGGAAATCTTAGGAAATAGGCAACTTTAAGTGCCCCCAAATGTGGTAAGAGCATACAAGTAAAGGCACAGAGAAACGGCAGCAACAGAGAAGTCGGGGCTCTCATGCCAGAAACCAAGTTTGCAAACAACTGGACAATGAATTAGAAATACTTGAGAATAATAAGAACCTAGTCCTCTCATTTATAAAAAAAATGTCTTTAAAGGATTTTCTAAGTATGAAATCAAGATGCCTGATATATCCCCCTAAAGCAGAGTTTTCATATTCCCCTAAACCAATTTTCCAGAGGTCTGTCTCCTGCAGATTTCCTCTTCCCTTCACTAAATCAATATAAGAAAGACGAAAGCTATCATCTTATTTTTGCTGAACTTATTTTTAAACGTGCCCCACCTCCTGCATGCTCCACACTGCTCCCACCCAAATCACCTAGAAGATGTCTAAAGATGATTTGGAAGGACTTGGACTTGTTAATTAACCTAAACAGTCACATTCGTCTGCAAGGTGCATTATTGTTAATTAAAACTGCGATTCTCCTTGTGCCCAGACAGCGGGCTGCTGGTGTCAGAATAATTAGATAGCATAGGATGGTTTTCATGCAAATCCCTGGCAATTAGAGTTGGCGGTGAGTTGGGTTTGAAGTCCCAGCGAAGTTCTCAATCAGAATTCCTCTGAGGGTAGCTCTGGGAGGAAGGTGATGATGAGGTTGGGGAAAGGAAAATAAGGGAGGATAAAAGGATGTGAGGACCCCACATTTGTTTCCTAAATCCTTCGGGAAGGGCTCCTGACTGAAGTAAATGAACTTTGCACGTCAAAGTGATGTTTAAATTTCCCTCAAGAAATAAGTGTTTCTGCTTGAAGAAGCAATGCAAATCGACCCTCCCCAGGGCTTTGTGTGCTCCCAGGAGCTTGCCTCCCTGGTTCTCATCTTTCTGAGAGGATTTTTTCTTTAGCCAGGAGGCCCAATAACTCATACACAGCAAAAGTCCCTGCCAACCCTAAGATTAAATTCTTAAGGGTTCTAAGGAAACAGGATTTGTATCCATGAAGGGTTGCAGAAAAGACACCAGATTCAGACCAAATTTAGAGTGGTTAGTTGCATGCAGTGGGTTAAGTGGACAGGGATAGCTGGTCCCAGAGGAAAGCCTTAAAGAAATGACTGCGCTCAGGGTTAGAGTTAAGGAAGAACTGTCCAACTGCAGCACAGATAATGGCAGGGAAAGGCCATCCCCTGAAGGGGGCAAAGCCTGCAGGGGTGGGAATGAGAAGGAGGTAACTGTGGGGACAGTCTGCAGCTCACTCTGACCTCCTATCAGCTGTGGGCTCCTGCCTCTGCCTTTCCTTTTGTGAGGGAAGTGATGGTTGCCCACCTATTTCCCAGGAGTCTGGGGTTCTCTCTTATGGGACTGAGCGAGAAGGGATTTCTATCTGGAGGCATGAGGCAGGAGGTAGATAAGACAACCCTAATGGTCTTAAATTAAGCCTTCTTTGCATCATCCAGGTTGACATTGGATGATTCAGGGAGTCAAAACACACTCTCTTTCCCTTCAACTAGGTCAGCCTCCAAATCCAGTAACATTTGTAAGTGTTAAAGAATACCTGAAGCCCAATAAAATTTCAAAGAGTTTATTTGCATAATAAGCAATGCGTGAATTGGGGAACACCAAACTGAAAGAGGTTTAATGTTCCCATGACAAATTGTCATAAGCAACTATTTATGGGGTAAGTACAGAAGCAAAGTAAAGAAATTATTTGACTGATTGAAGTTCCACAGTTGCCTATGTGTTCTATCCCATTGGAAAGTGCCTAATAAGTTTGTTGGCTACTTCTGATTGGGTGAGCTTAAGTTCTGCTTTTCACTGCTATAGGGATTTATAAGAAATAGCTCAAGTTTCACTTAAGTTTTTTTGCAAATCAAGCAAGGTTTAGGTCACTTATAAGGCCTACCTGGTTTTGTCTTCTCAGGAATACTTCAGGCTTGGTCTCCACTTTAATTTACTTTGACATCTATGGTAGGATTGAGAGAGAGATCAAGAGCTGGAGGGGGAATTTTGTGAGAAGGCTGGAAAGGAAATAGAAGAAAAAAAAAATACTAGGACACATTTATAAATAGAGGTTGGAGACTTGAGCATAATTTAGGTTTGTAATTTGTTTCCTTTTTCTTCATTTTCTCCCTTTCTGTTTCAGAATATCTTCCAAGTTTCAAATGATTCCTAAATCCCGCCTTTCAATTTATGATGTACCAATCAGGAGCTAACCCGGTGGTTGCTAAGAGACAGGAGGCAGAAGATTTAGAGGCTTTGTCCTGGCACCCACCTAGGAAAATTCCCGGAGCCTTTCTCACCCTCCTGCCTAAGATGTTCTAACTCATTGCTGCTCCTCTCCTGCACTCTCTTATTTTTCCCCAAGCCCAGATAGTCCAGCAGAAACATTTTAGGGAAGAAACCAGATACAGCACATCTTTGCAAAATGGAAAAGTCTAAGTGGAGTCAAACAGATGCAAGCTATCTGCTCAAGTTTCCCCAGACTTTAATTGAGTTGGAAGGAGGATCACAGTTTTTTGTGACCTCTTGGGAAGAGGTTGAGTTTGTTGGTGGTAAAAGTTGTACCCCTTAGGAAGAGAGGCTTACTCATTGTCCTTTCAATCATTACCTAAACTTGGCTGAGCAGAGGTTAAGTAAAAGCCACCAAGGTCATGATTAAGCAGCCAGAGTTTCAGGGGCATATTTGGGGAAGAAGTGCCCAGGATATTGGGATATAATGTGGAAGAGGAAGAAAAGAGTTAAGTGGGAAATAAAGGTTTATTTCAAAAGCTAGGGTTTGAAAGAAAAATTTAGGGAATTCTAAGCAGAAAATTAAATCAGATCAGGTCTTCCCCCTGTAAGTTCTCCAACCTTCACAACTTCTTGATCTTTTCTTCCCTCTACACATCCTACACAGAAAAGACTAGGCACGAAATCCAGGGTAAAGAAAACTCATTTGGGCAGGAAGTGAGTCATAAATTCTGATTCTATATCTTGAGAACAGGGATGGGCACAGAATTACGTGGGGGGAAATGCCTTGGGAGAGGTGAGTGCACACACACAGGTATGTGCAGTGCAGATGCTGACAGAGATGCAAGCATGTGGAACACACTCTTCTTGCATGCACGCATCTCACGTGGATGTAGGTTCCAGCATACCGAGAGACAGACAGACACACACACACACACACACACACTAATGGGAATAGAGTCATGCTAAGGAAACTGTGAGAGATGACTCCTAAAAGTAGTTTTTTAAGTTATCTTGGTATGTTTCCCATACTACATAACGTCCTCCAGGATGCTTCTCCCACCTTCCCCACCACCACCCTGATCTATAAACAAAGCCGGAGAAGAGGTAAAAGGCAGACAGAGAGAGAGTCTGGACGGGTCAGATAGGAGGAGGTGATACATTTCCAGGCTTTGTTGTCACTCTTGTCTGTTTTTCTCTCTCTGGTTCCTTTTCCTATTCCATTTGCGCTCTGCAACAGCTTCTCTCCTTTGTTGACCTGCTAAGCCATCTCTTCTCATTCTTTAGGATTAGTTGCTGCTCTAACATTCTAGTTGCTCTTCCCTTCCCCCTTAAGATGGCAGTAACCCCACACCTCAAGAGAACATCTGTGTGCCCTGAGGATGTTTATTGCTCGTTCACTCTCTCCCCAGGCCAGCTAGAGAAACAGACCCTGGCAGGAAAGACTGGCACGAGATGTCTCTCTTTCTCCATTCTCTTTCCTCTCCTCTTTATCCCCAGACAAAATAAGAAACCATCTGCTTCATAAAAACAGTGTAGACTTTAATTCAGGTTGACAGGTGGGAAGAGAGCTAGGATTTGCCTCCAAGGGTGTCCAGATGAGAAGAACATCTTGCAGGGAGGGGTTCGGAGGGCAAGGAGGTACGGGTGGCCTTGTGGCAGAACAGGGCCAGGAGCAGGGGCGTAGCCACACAGTGCAATATTGCCAAGGCTTCTGCCAGGTTCAGCAGCAGGTCTAGAACCTTCTGGGCCAGACATGTTGGCAATACGAAGACCCTGGACCTCACTAGGAAGTCCAATCCCAGAAACACTGCATGTGGCCACCAGAACATGAACCAGACCCACAGGATATCAACCCCGGGGCCTGGCCCCCTGCCCAGTGCCTTCTTCAGTCCCATGGCTCCGAACAAACCCAGAGGCAACACAATGAAGATGGCAAAACAGGCTGCAATGTGTATAGACTGCCAAGTCCCCAGGCCTCTACTGGAGCAGAATCTGTGGGAAGTGTCACTAGGCAGGGTGATGGGCAGCACCAGTAGGGCAGCCACTAGCCAAAGTCCCACAGTGAGCCCTAGGGTAATGCCTGAGACCCGGTGTGCACCCAGTTTGGGGCCCAGGCAGGCCCGACATCCTATCAGCAGAGCCTGGGCAAAGGCCAAGCCATACCAGACCCCATAGCCCAGCTGGCACATGGTGGTGCTGTGGGCACTATTTATCCCTGGTGCCAAGATGGGCACCAAGATGCTGAAGAGGGCACTGCTCACAGCCAACTGTACCAGGAAAGGCCGGCCAGGGCACAACTGCCAGTGGAAGAGAGGTCTGATAAGCGCAAAGAGGACAGCTCCATTTGCGAGGATGCCCAGGACACTGGCGACGATGAAGAAGGGCAGTGAGGAGTCATCCAGCAGGTTACAGGAGTGGCAGGGGGCGGCTGCTTCCAGGTTGTCGTCATAGGAAAGGGACTCATTCTCATCATAGAATTCGCTCCAGTTGTATCCTTCAAAGACTATCTGACTTGTGTTCTCATCCATTAAGACGGAGGGATTCACCTAGAGGACATACCCAGAGCGGGCAATCAGGGCATCTAGTTACTCCACTGGACAGTCTCTTGGGATCTGGGGGGAGGGGAGGGTGGGGGAGGGCAGAGGGGGAGCATGGGCTGGGAGAACAATGGAGCTGTGCAAGCCAGATGCAGTGGAGTTGGTGGAAAAGGATAAAGGACAGATACTGAGGAACCTGTGCAAGAGTCAAGGAAAAGCCAGGAAGGGTAGTGGTAAGGACTGGAGGAGTGGGAGGAGGAGGTCAGAGGGGAGGTAATGAGCTGCCTGGATGGAACTGACTGAAAAGCAAATGAAAAGGAAAGTAATGGGAGCTAGGAGACTGGAGTAGGAAGGAGAGAAGGAAAAAAAGATTTTTAAAAGTGACAGAACAAGGAGGAAAGGTTTGAGATGAGGAGAAAAGGGAAGAGGTATAAAGAAGGATCTGAGGGGCAAACAGAATGGAGAATGGGAGACAAAGAGGTCAGAGGTTGTGGGGCTTGGCCTCACACTCACCGGGTACAGACAGTTCCCCATGGCACTGTTGAGCTCAGAGCAGGCAGAGAGAAAGTCTGGGGTGGCTCCGTCGGTGGCTGTGGTTCCAAGATAAGTGCCAAGGACTAATGAGGGCCATCAGGTTCTGGGCAGGGCCATGTGGTGGGGGGTGGGGGTATATTCAGGAAGCCTTTGTTCCACGCCCACTGCCTGCCAAGCCTCAGGCCTACATGGGGCACTAGCCTGTGGCTTCCTGTTTTGAAGATGGATTGGACTGATGGGGATTGCACTCTGGAAGGGAAGAAGGTGGGGACCAGGAGGTGGGCATTTTCCCGAAGGTGGAAAGGGAGGCTGGGAAACCAGGGGGCTTTCCAGCTACAAGAGCTTCTTCAAGCACAAGGAAGGAAGAGGGGCCGGGGTGACTTGTGAGGCAAAGATAAGAGAAGTGCTGGGAAGCTGGAATGAAAGGGCAGCGGGTGACTATCCGCTTGAACTTGATCCAAGGAAAGGCAGTTCAACAGCGATGTGTTTGTGGGAAGGGGTCTTCATGGTGCTGGTGGTTGATCCGTCTAACCTGAGGGGTATGATTGTGGGTGTGGGCTCTTTGTGTGTATCAGACTGGGTATGAGAATGTTCTTATTTATCTGTGCCTGAGTGTTGTGTGTCAGGGTGCACATATCTGTGTGTGAGGTGCTGGGTGGGAGTCTGGGTGTGTGTATTGCTATCTCTAGGTCTGGGTGTTTCAGTGTGAGAGGAGGGAGGGCTGGGGGTGGCTGTCAGGCTGCACAGCAAAGCTGCTTTAGGGAACAGTTGGGCATTTGCCTAGTCACCTATGGGTGCAGTGAATGCATCTTCCATACCAAGCAGAACACTCTGACAAGTTAAAGTCAGCTCTGGGGGACAATGGGATGGCATATTTTAAGATAGGACGGTTGCCCACGGGGTAATCTCTGTTCATATTTCTGTTGGGGGACATAATGGTTCTGGAACTGCTTCACTAGCCTGGTATCTTAGCAATATATAAAGTTTCTTATATAGGGGAAGAACTGCTATATCTCTCTGGCGGGCAGGAAGGGCATCTACCCTGCAGGTGGATTCTCCTAAGCCTCCTTTGCCTCTTCTCTTCTGTAGTCCCTTTCCCCAGTGGCTTTCCCAGTATCTCTGCTGTCTCATCATTTCTCTTTGCATTTTATTTCCTAGCTGGGGAGACGTAGCCTGGACTTTGGGAGGGGTGAGCCATGGAGTGTCCAAGTCAGAACAATGAGATAGAGAGGATTGGTTAGGGAACCCTGCTTCATTTGTCCAAGAATACATGGGATGTTTTAACCCCAATTCTGTCAAGGACCTTCTGCCCCATTCAAATAAGGGTACCTGGGGACAAAGCACCTCAGACCAAGGTGCAAAAGGACGGGTACCTTGTAGAGATTTCCCTCTTTTCTCACAGGGCACTATCTCAAGTTCCAGGTTCAGCGTGAGGGGGACTACAGAGTGAGTTTGGCGAAGGTTTGGTGAAGCTCTCCCGGATAGTGTTGATGTTGTCTCCACCTCCATCTCAGCATTTTCCAGCTGGGCAGGGCAGGACCGGGGGCTGGGGGAGCAGTCAGGAGCCCCACTGCAGACACTGTGGAATGCAAGGGCCCAGCAAAAGGGGGTGGACACACTTCTCTCCCTCAGCGTGATGTTGCTTCCACACATATATGCCCTTGGGAGAGTGGTATGGCATGGATAGGTCACCCTTGAGGTACCAGCACCAGGCGCAAGGGATACCCTTAACAGCCCTTAACAGACACACATGCCGGTAGTAGCAGAGCAGCAGAAAGGAGGCAGCCCAACGACACGGATAATCCAGATATATTGAGGGTGGCACCTCTGAGATTAGCACAGGAGAGTTAGAAAGATTATAAAGATACATGATCCAGATCCCCTCCCTGCACCCTCCCCCCAACTGACAGACACACACAGCACAAGGCCCCTCTCCCCCCGCCCCCCATACAAATATGGCTTCTGTGTAATATGGACAGAGTGGTTCAGCTCGAAGAGGAAACGTCATTTTCCCAAAAGCGGGTGCTGGGAAACAAGGAGCCTGGCAGGCCTGGGGCCCAGGCTCCCCTGCTGCTGTGAGAGGAGGGGCCTCTGCGGGGGGGGGGGGCTGCGCACGGTGCCCAGGGCC